CCTTAAAGGAGAAGAACACTTAAATTTGACTTGCTAATAGAGAATGAAGCAAAATATTTTAACATGGACATATTGAAAGTTATTTTTGAACAATGGACTCAGAGGTTACTTTTAACAGTGTGTGCCTCTATAGATATACTGTGTTTAAAAGTTGTCATGAAAGAGGAACAAGTTATATCTGACAAGATTGAGACTGATCTGAAAGTGGATTTAAAAATGACAGGCTACAAGAATGATATGGAAAAAGATGCTACACTGGACATACATAAGCTGGCTGATGTCTTAATCATTAAAAGGGATTTACAAATAACAAAGGAAGAGAGTAACCTGGATAATTTTCCTATATTGGATTTAGAAAAGAGGCTTGTTAAAGCTTTGAAGAATTTTGTGAGAAGGGACAAAGAAAAAATGTAAAGAAATCAAGTTCTAGGATATTATTTGAAGGAACTAAAGATCAAGATTGTTGAAAGTAAAAGGAAGCAATATAAAGTTGGTTTGTTTAATTAAGGTTAAAATAGATATGTTGTTATATCTGGTAACTCTTAATGGAATTTTGCTGATCAGGACTGAAATGACAAGACTTTAAGGATTTGTTTATAGATAAGAGATGGGAAGAAGAGATCATTTGTATTTTAAGAGAAGGTGATAAATTACTAAAATTATTTATACTTGTGATGAATTCACATTTCTTTATATAAATTTCTTTTTCTTTACTATATTCCTATTTTTTTCCCTATTTTTTTCTATTTTTTCTTTTCTGCACTTTCTATTTTTGCTTTTGCTTTTATTTTTTAGTTTGTATTTTTATCTTTTAAATTGTAATTTTGAATAAAATTACTATAAAAAAGCTACAATAATACCAATGAAGCAAAAAGTAAAGATAAAATATGACAAGTGCAATCAAGTGAGGGGTCTCACTCCCTCACCAAAGGCCTGGGTAAATTGGCCTTTTAGTGCTGTGTACAAATTACTATGAGTATTTAAAAGGTCTCATGATGCTCAACGAATAAGTTGTCTTCTCTATGATAGAGCCCACCAAAGATAGACACTCCTAATGGTACAAAATTATTTAATAGAATAAAGCATCAAATAAAGGTTCTATGTAATGTATATAGAAAGCAGGAAAGCTATAGTGAATGAATAGTTCCATTTTCAAATCTTTATGCCATTTGGATGTGGTAAGGTGTAGGTTTTCCCCAC